AGAAACTAAAATAACATAATTTGTGATTAAATCTAGTTTCAGGTTTTTCCAGTGGTACCATCTTTTAATAATAATAATAATAATAATAATAATAATAATAATAATAATAATAATAATAATAATAATAATAATAATAATAATAATAATGGATGTTTTTATTGGACAGACATTGTATCAGCTGTTATATACAAGTGGGGTACGTAGTTTTTGAAAGGTATCAGATTAGTATAGATGTAGTTTTCATCAGGTATTAGATTAGTATATAGGAGTCAGATAATTTATACGACGCTATAAAAGCAGATGATATTTTATCATTGCTCATGTAAGATGGAAGTGGAGGCCATGGCACCATATCATGAGCATATTTTTATATTGAAACTATCATTGGGCACCAAAGATGTGTATACGACGCTATGAAAGTTCAGAGAACTGGAGATTCTTTCCATAAACTACATACTTAGCCCACTCGACTGTCTTGGTTTTTCCACACAAACTACGTACCTATCCCACTCGACTGCCAATAGGGACTCAAAAAACAAAAACAAAAAAAGTTAAAACAATGCCATATTTCTTCTTTGTGGGAAATCAAGACAGTCGAGTGAGCTAGGTACGTAGTTTATGGGCAAAAAATTAACAGTCGAGTGAGCTAGGTACCTAGTTTATTGGCGAAAAATAAAGACAGTCGAGTGAGCTAGGTAAGTAGTTAATGGGAAAAAAATCAAGACAGTCGAGTGTGCTTTTTTTACTTTCTTTTGTTTTTTGTTTCGTTTTCTATTGGCAAGTGATTATCTAGGAACTTGTAATTTTTTTAGTTTTTTCATCGTATCTCCCGAACTATTGAATTCAGAGAAAAATGTTATGAGGATTTTTTGTAGATTTTATCGAAAGGAATAATTTTGGTTCCATAACATTTTCAGATATTTTCAGTTGTTTTCGAGATATTTGGAATTATCTGAGAATAAAATTTTCAACACTCTTGTTCCATCTTCCAATCAACAAAATGAAAAAATTTTTCATTGTTCAGTTGATGTTGATGAGATTCATCTATCGATAATCTTTGTTTCTCAATATATCTTCATGGTACCCTATGGGTCGTTCAAATTTTTTTTTTTCATATTTTTCACTTTATTTCCTGTACTATTGGGTTTACAGAAAAAATTATGGAAAATAATTTGTAGGAAATGTCCCATTGGATAACTTTGCACTCTTGATAATTTTCAATTTTCCCATTTGTTTTCGATATATATTGAATTGAAAGGATTTCAAATTTTGATGTTTGGATTTTCATTTGTTTTTCCATTTTCCGATGGATGCACGAAAAAATGGTTGAATAATGATTTGTTGCGTCATCAAAGAGGCATACGGTGCATTTTTCAAATTTGGATTTAGTCTATTTGTTCAGGAGATATGTCGTTTTAAAGCGAACCATGTGTTTCGGAAAATCTCCTTGAAAAACCCACTTGGAATTTTCCGACCCTGCTCAATTTCAATAGGCTTCGTCTCTCCCTGATAGAGTTTTTCGTCACAAAAAATTAAATCGATCGGACCACTTTTGCGATTTGTAGAGTGGTTACAAGAAACTTCCGGTGAAAAATCGAAAAAAACCGGAAAAACCACCTTAGAGTTTTCCGATTTCCTTCATATTTCAATGACATAATATTGTTTTGAGTACAATAAGATGGCAAAATTTCAAGTCGATATGTCAACGGGTTCCGGAGATATATCGATTTATGATTAACACAGAGTACAGACAGACAGACAGACAGACCACACACAAAAACCAAAGTTGCTCAAAATTCGATGGGGATCATTTTCTCCAAAGTAACTATACCTCTATCTCGCTTAGTTTCCGAGATAGCATTTTTGGCAAGGCCGTAGTATACTCCACTATGTATAGCGTCGTATAACAAGTTGAACACTTAACAAATGCCTGTCAAATGGCAGGGTTCAAATTGCACGTGAAGACAGGAATTTGCTCTTCCTCTCAACCAGTAAAAACTCATTCATATGCATTCAAGTCAATATGAATGAGTTCAAATATATATTTATAAATAACTAACTCCTAGAATTTAACAATAACTGAATTATGTTCATAACAGAAGGAAGAAATATGAAAGAGCAGAAAAGAAGAGAGAAGATATATACATATTTATGAACTATAGTCCTATATTAGAGATATTGTAATAGATCAGTTGTGAACAGATATTGACAGAGAACTATATCGAGAAAACGAAATTCTCCCTGATATCAAACCATTTTTCAGCCTCTGTTTACGGGCAAAAACAGATACACTTTTCAACTGCTCTGGAAAACAGTTGTATAGCCTAGTCAAATGAAAACTGAAACTGATATAGATATTTTGAATAGCGTAATGAATAATTAATCGGAATTAATCTGATGAATTTGACAAATCTGCTGTTCTGGACGTAGTTGGACGAGACACAAGACATTTTCAGTAAAACCCTCGGTAAACCAAATTATTTCAATGCCATACTTCAAAGTTCTGCAGCAAACCTAAGGGGAAACTATACTTAGAACTTGGCCAACAATGAAAAATGGAAATCTAAGTATAGAGCACTTCTGAATATATTTCAACATGTTGCATACATTCAACGAGATAACAAGGCATATTGTTTGACAACATTTCAGTCGTCAAATATATACACCATTACAAAATAATTCCAAGAAATGTTGTGATACAATAACTGAAAGGGCATTATAAAATAGAATATCACTACAAAGGCCAGGAGTTTTTGAGATTTTATCCAACGATCGTACCATGCAAATCTATTGAAAACGCCATGAATTCCATTGATTTTCATCAATCAAGTTGAACGTCAGTAGCAATGAATTTTATAGTTACTCCCAAAGGTACATATACATCCAATAATAGGAATATTGTTTCATGTGGAGGCAGAATATCAGAACAAGATAACTGAAACCGAAACCATACAGAATAAACAGAAACAAGTTTGGAGGACTGTGCATAAATTGTCAGGAAAAAGAATAGAAAATAATCATCCGCGGGAGTTGATTATTGATAATAAATTAGTGAACGATAATTGTCTTATAGCCAACAAATTTGCTGATTATTATTCAACAATAGTTTCAAGCTGTATTCAACAACACTTTCATGATAACGTTTCAGTTGGCACAACTGATATGAACAAGTTGCCGAGTACCTTTTATTTTATCTTGTTACCCCAATTGAAGTTTCCAGTGTCATCAATGAGCTCAACAATGAAAATTCTTCAGGATTGCCTTACCACAAAAATCATAAAATCCATTTCGAACTTTATCTGTGAACCACTCGCATTTATTATCAATTTATCCGTAGAGACAGAAACGTTTCCAGATATGCTGAAAGTAGGAAAAGTTATTCCAGTGTATAAGAAGAGTGATCCGCTCATCATTGATAATTATTACTGACCAATTACAATTCCTGGTGTTTCTAGCAAAATCATGGAAAAATGCATTTGTAATGAACTTCATCCATTCTTAGAGAAGTATAATGTTATCAGCAAGTGTCAAAACGGTTTCTACTCAGGTATAGATCGACAGAAAGCGCTGCTTCAGTATTCCTGGAGAATATCTATAGCGGTATTGATGAAGGAAAGTATGTTCCTGCCTTGTTTTTCAATTCAACCAAAGCTTTCGACTTCGTTGACTTCGATATACTTGCTGATAAACTGTATAGCATAGGTATTCGTGGAAAATTCCTTGCTTGGATTATATCCTACATGAAATATAGGACAATATTTATTAAGTGGCAAGATTCTTACTCAGAACTATTTGATATAGATATCGGTGTACCACAAGGATCAGTGTTAGGGCCTTCATTATTTTCACTATATATTAATGATCTCCCACAATATATCGGAGTTACATCAATCACATTATTCGTTGATGATACCTCAACGTCGGCAGAAGCCGACAGCCTTGTGCAACTCCGGTCCAAACTAAACATCATAGGTTAAAGATTTACTGCATGGTGTCAGAGTAATAGACTGATAGTTAATGCCGAGAAAACTGTGCTAATTCAGTTTTTTAGTAGGAAACCTACGGGTTCACACATTTCTGTGAATATAAATAATATTACTGTACACCCTTCGGAAACCTCAAAGTTTTTAGGTGTATATATAGACACCGAAGATGGAAACATCATATCAACTATGTATGTAGAAAAATCAATAGAATAGTTTTTATGCTCTACTGCAGCTCAAAAAAGTTCTGAATGTGAATATTCTTGTCGATGTTTATTATGCAATGGTGAACTCAGTACTTTATTGCACTATTCTCCTGTGGAGTAATGGTACTACGATTGATCGGGCTTTCATTGGTCAGAAACGCATAATTCGACTCATATATGGTCTGGAATATACCGAATCATGTAGATCTACTTCCAAAAAACATAAAATTTTAACACTACCCTCTTTGTACATTCACCATTCTGTCATTCACGTGCAAAAACACGAATCCAAGTTCGAAACAAATAGAAATATCATACTTATCCTACAAGGAACAATAATTTCCTGAGGTTGAGACAACACCGCACAGATTTTTCAAAAGTCAGACTTCACAATAGGTCCAAGGTTCTTCAATTCCCTGCCCTCAGATATAAAGGAAATATCAACTTTCGCAAAATTGAAAAAAAAATGAAGGAATATCTGCTGGAAAGAACTTCTATTCTTTCTGTGAAGGAATTTCTGGAGACAAAAATATGAAGTGAGGTGATTGTATTCTTAAAGTGAATGTATTTTAAATGTTTACCTCCAATCATTGTTTTTGAATATTCTAAATGTTAGACCCATTTTATCTTCATATCAATGTTTTAACTTTTATGTGTTTGTATATTCTCTTTATAATAATTTTATACAACTTCTTTTAGACGATTCCGATATTATTTTTTGTATGATCAATGAAAGGAAAAAATAATTATTATTATTATTATAAGTATAATGAGTATAACTCACATTAAGGATTGAAAGTATGAATCTCACCTGAATCTTTGTCGTGCGTATGCGCTGGTGGCATGGGCCGTTGGGTCCCTCTTCGAATCTCTGCTTCTTTGTTGAAAGAGCTGTCGTTTTGCTGATGATCCCTATGTAAAGTTGAGTTCAGAGTCACTCGCGTCTTATTCACACCAACCCCACTATCGCGAACTCTCGACCATGCAACCTCATCTCTTCTATCAGTCCCGGAAGCCTTAGAAATATCCGTTATATCTCTCGCAGAGATTGCTTGATTGTCTACAGCTGGATCGAATCCTCGCTTCGATCGGATTGTTGTATTGCAAAGCCTACGAATTATCCTAGTATTACGGCAAGGAATAAATAACCTACTTAAAGCTAGATTGGAACTTGGATTCTTGGAATTATCTGACGGACTTGGAGGTACTTTTGCATCGGCAGCACCTCCCACTACTGCCAAAATGGCTAGGAAGGTGGCCAGCTGTGCTGAACAGCTCCAGCGGTGTCTAGGGTAGTTAGGGGCCGTGGTCCAGGGGTTGACCAACAACCCTTCATACAAAAATAGCACGGTGACAGATTCTTGACGCTCGTGCAATTGTATGACGACCAACTTCAAGCTTTGCCAGTGGGATCCTTCAGAGTGGTTGATTTTCACTGGATGATATGGCGATGTTGACGAAGATATAGTGGTGTGGTCGGGGGAGAGGGAGTGAACTTTGTAGGTTATGTCTTTACCGAACACAAGGCGTATGCTTCGGGTCCCAGGGCGATTCGAGACGTCTGTGATATGAGTTGGCATGAACATTGCATAGACAGCGTGGGGTCGTGCTGTGAACCATTGTGAGGATATTCGGTCGGTGTGGAGGAAGTGTCTTCACGAGGAAGCGGTGTGGCATCGATGGTACCTGGAAAAAAGCATATACACAAAGTGATTCAGGTGTTGAATTGAATATCAATAATCAATTAATTAATTAATGAAAAGTTTGATACAGCCTTCAGAGCCTCCAAGTGCAAAAGTGTATAGGTATAGGTGGCATAAACTTGTCCTTCTCGCGATGAATTATTGCAAAAAACATGGATTATCACGATTCTCAAACCCAAAGCAATCTTCAAATTCCATGTTGTTTGAGGGATCTACGATTTTCAAATTGTAACATATTTTGACATACACTTCACGTTACGTACCCTACTAGAAAGTGAAGGTCCGTGATCGTTTGGGTATGGTGGGATTCGGTAAAATTTGGCCACCCAAGGATTTGGGCGTTGTGGGAATCCATGCTTTTCGTATAGTCCCGTGAAATTTTCACTTATATTTTATAAATCAGGGATCAGTTATTCCGATTGCAGAAAAAATAGCATGTTTCATCCGGATCAAAAGTGATTCTGTTTGACGTTGAAGTATCACATTCGTCCTAATGAAACAATGTACCATTCTTATGGTATTAGCGGTATTGATAGTGGTTTATTTCAGTGGGAGAAAGCATGCGGAGTTGACAATCTCCGCGGCCCGACTTTGTAGTACGTTTTCATGGAAGGCTCGACTCGGCCGGCACGCGGGCCACCTGGCTCACGGCCAGCCCCGATTTTAGAACGCAACCGGCAGACTGTGCCGTGTTTCCCCCCAATTGTCCTCCCGACCCCCCGAGATCGTCCCCGTCTGCTTTTCCAAAACAATCCGATCGCACAGAACATAGATCCATCCGGAGCTGAATTCTCGTTTCTGCGATTTCTGCTGGCAAGGAAGGATCTCCACAGTTCGAAGATCAAGTCCCTATGGGTTTTGATTTTACGAACTTTGATATTGGAGATGTTATTCCCTCCCTATCAGCGGAGTGAGCTGTATGACTTTCCTTTACGGAACCGGTAGTTTTGCCAGGTATTATAAACCCTTACGCGCCTGATTTGAAATTGAAATGCGCCACTTGCGCCACCTTTTATTGAGAGATGAAGAAACTGATAAGAATTTTCCTGAGAAGTATATTTTTCGTAAAATTACTTGAGTGAGAGATTGAAACAAAAAATAAAAAACTTGACGCCTCGCAGGAGTTGAACCCACGCCAACGCTGTGGAAGTAAGATACACAGTATACTGAGCTATTGCCATACTTGAAAGCAGCAAAAACAGTATGATACTAGTTTCATGACTGGCGAGACTGGCGACAGAGTCTCCAGATGAGCGAGAACTTCAGAAGGAATAAAGTCTCTTGCCAGTCATTCGATTAGTAGCATGCTGCAGTGTTGTGGTAAATCTTGAGGTTATCAGAAGGTTATAAGGTATTATGAGGAAGCGTGGGAGAATCTTGCTAAATTTCCGAAGTTTCAAACCAAATGTACAGGCATCATCACACATTCATTCGAATTCACATTTTAATTTTCACAATTTTTTGTTTGAATTGGAACGGTGCGTCATATTTTCGTCTTTCAATGGTGAATTCATGAACAACACGAAGTGCTAACTCAAGAAAATCCTGTGATAATAGTTTCTTTACTCACTTTTGGTACATAAAATAAATGTTCGGATTTCAAGTAATCCTCACAAATTGCAGCAGTCAGTCCATGATGAAAGCACAATACACTAACTCAACTAATAATATAATATGATAATATAATATCAACCTGCTTGATAAACTACTAATGCTCTCAATTTATAATATTTCTATTCAAAATCATGACACTGACATATATGCCAAGATCAAGATGTTGCCGCATGGATTATTTCTTGCTCCCTGTGTCTTCTGTGGTCCTGTCTCTAGATGCTTCTTATTAGTCATTATTGAATTCAAGCATCGTCAACGAGACTCTTCAGGTTGCGAAAGAAGAAAAACACATCCTTGAAAGTCTAGTTCAACCTCCTATAAGATTCCAATCACAATTTGAAATTTTTCAAGGAATTGTTCATCGCTCAAGCCATCTATCATCGAATATGAGAACACCACGTTCCGATCTCGCATTCAATTGTTCATATCGAGAGCTAGTCTGACGTAACAATTGAAGAGTGGGTACACCAGAGGAATTGTAACCATCTCACTCATTGCTATTTTGAACTATGTAGGCTTCTCTATCTAATACTATTGTGGAACTTCTGGATTGTTATTTGAAATCCGTCTCAAACAGTTTTCACAAATAGTGTCATGTCCATAAGCGTTTCTATTCTATAACTACAAAAGGACTTCCTCAAGGATCTTTACTTTTGGACCTCATTCGGTGAGGGTTGTGAATTCTGCAATCTATTTTTACGTAGATGACACTCAACTATACTTGTCCTTCAAAGTGGAAAAAGTAAATGAAGCATGTGAATTAACAAATGAACATTATCCTAACTTCTTGTTCTCTGGAATGAATTCTGTCTTTCAGATTAATCCACAGTAATCCAAGGCTCTACTAGTTGATAGTGCTAGAGCTCAAAATTTTGTATGTGCATGAATATGTCAATATCGGTGGTAATTATACCAACAGATTTCAGTGACTAATAGTGCAACAAATTTGGGTGTTATATTCTATAACTCACTCAGATTTTTGTTACATGGGTACGAAATTATACGAACTGATTTCTCAAATCTGAAAAAAAAAAATAATCGTGCCACACCGTGTACTGTCCCATCTTATAACAATCTATGTTATAACCATCTTTTATTCACTGCCCTTTGAAATGTTAATTTCGTACGAGAATATGAGAATTGAACGAACTATATTTTCACAAGTACATGAGACAAAGAGTTTTTCTCCTCAAAATAGCGTTAATGTACCAAGGAATTATCAGTAGGTAAAATATGTACCTACACTTGAACACAGTGGAACAATTTTGAAGGTTTGATTGTTTGAAAAGTAATGGTGGTAGTTAACTAATGATAGCAGACTGAAATCTTCAAAATCATGTATCATCCAATCCTTGGAGGAAATCCAACATAATCTCAATAATATGAGTCAGCATCGACTCTTCGACAATTTCCTGGTACTGGTTTTTCTCAGAATCACCTTAACGACTTACGGCAGAAAAAAGTTGACCGGTTCGTAAAATATTTACTCAATCAGTCGAGATGTGGCATCTCGTGAAGTTTATTATTCCGTCTGTGTTTAGTCTATCCCTAACTACACCACGATTGCATTCGCAATTTCTGAAAATATTTGCGTAGGATCCTGTGGAGAGGAAAATCCGATTCAAGCGGAGTTCCATTCAATATCATCAGAATGAGATCACAGGAATTCGGGAAAATTGTATCGCGTTCTTCTATGGTTATCCAGGAGTTAGTTGCTAATGATCAATAATTACCGTTTTCATGCCGGATATCCGATCGAAAAACATGTCCTCAAATAAAGAATCCGCCAATCAAAGGAAAGAAAACGATGGAGATATTGACAGGTGCGGAAATAAAACTTCCCAGTGCAATAATTATAACTGGATTTTATACTTTGGAAATTTTCATCAGCATATTCAGGAAGTAAGCACAATTATGGGAATTTCAACAATGACACATTCGATGAAGTTATTCTTTGATCAGGTACAATGTTCGATGTAGAGAACTGAGACTGTTGAGGCAATAGTAATGATAGAAGTTGTAGTATTAGTGGTACTAGTAGTAGTATTGTGGGGAGGCTACTGCCAGGCAAGTAGGACCTCATGGCCCTCTTTGCTAACCCCTGATCTCCACATATCTACGCATTCATCTCCTAGTTGCCCTTTCTGAACTTTCCTGACCTTCTGATGAAGGCCAGGGTGTCCGTCTACTCTGAAGCGATTCAGTTATCTTGGCCAAAATTACGAATCTCATCATTCCATAATTCACGGCAAGTAGGGGCTACATATATTTTATACAACTATATTCGTTATGTGTCTGCACAACCTATATGTATCATATTTGTAGGCTTGGACCGGCTACTATACTATTAGATTCTTTCAATATTCTCCTGGTAGGTACTTTGTCTACCTATTCCTTCAGAGTAAATGAATTTTGGATTTATGCAATGCCCAGTACAGTTGAAGCATTAGATCCATCATCAATTTGCATTCCTTTATGTGAGTGTGGAGTTATAGATAAATCTATTACACTCTTGAATATCGAACTTTTCTCATTGAATATAATATGTTCAATGAGAATAACAGAAACCTGTATGAGAAATTTTTCTGAAGAAATATAAACTTTCAATATCTTTATAACTATACTTGATTGATTCTAGTCGAGACTCTTGCACATACGATAATTATCATCGTGGACAATTTAATGATTCTATTTTGATATGCAGCAGACTATAATTATTTCCATTTCTATAGT